CGGTATTAAAAGTATGCCGAATTAGCTGTAATCAGCACCTGCTTGCGGGGTACCCATGAATGTACAAACAACTATCAGTGGATTACTTTGCTACTTAAGAAAAATTAAAAACCTCCATAATTCTCAGGCAACCTATGATTTGTGAGCATATTTTTGTACTTTTATTCATGATGAACATCAGAGATAATGCTCCCCAGAGTGTAAGTTGCACTGAATCTAAACATAAATGTATCATGTCTGTGTGTTCAGATTTGACCGAGTTATGATTCCACAAGGGAGTGCAAATTTTGACACAAATTGCAGCAATCAGTGAGTCACAAAGTGTTAGAAAGGCCTTAATCACCTCCATGATCTGTCTCAGCAACCACAGATGAAGCTCCAGCTGCTGACCCTGTTGAGAAGCAGCCAAACTACAATAACTAACTCCCTGTTTACAGAACACCTGCATGCACCTGTCGCTTTCACCTCACACAGTATCTTTGCCTCACATCTCTCCCTCTGCTCGCCCTGGGGGAAAAACTCTGTTTATGTGGTTAACAATGGATCTAATGACTTTGTGTCATGTCAAAGAAGTTGCTGGAGACCTGGTGGAGACCAAACCAGAGCTAAAAGGAGAGTGAAAAAAACTTTCATCAGGTGGACACAAATCCAAATGAATGATCATGTAATCTGCAACATCAGTAAATAACTTGGAAATAGGGCTATACATAAAATATGGCCTAAAAAGTTTCATATCTTTCGATATCGATAATTATCACGATAAGTATCAAATCGTTATTTCTTCCGTGTTTGAAGGCTGATTTTTGCTCCTGAGTGAAAGTTGAAGAAACCTGATGGTTAAATGGCGTTTAAACTCTTCTTTATGGTCAACACTTGAGGCCAAAAAGTGGATCACTTCACAAATCTGAGGCAGAACATACAGAACAATTATGGTAAAATCTTTATCAACAAATATGCATGAGTAAAATTAAGTTAAAGCTTTTTTCAGTCCTTTTTCCCTCAACAAAATGAAGATCTTAATAAAAAGTCTTAATTTGTGTATGATTCAAGTGAATACAATCAAACATTTATTGAACATTTGTTATATTGTGGTGATTAATTGTTTTATTGTCCAGCCCTACTGGGAAATGATTTAGGTGTTATGTGTTCCTCTTCTCAGATTCCAGCTTAATCAATGTGAAGGTTGATTCATTGTTTTTAAATCAGCAACAGACAAACCAGTAATAAAAATAACTGATCAGTCAGTTTGTAAAAATGCCGAATAGAAGCCGTGTAATGAAACCGTAAAAGTGTCACAGAAAGAGTCGCTCATCTCGCTGTCCTGCCATGACACACTTTCTTAAAACTGTGTGTGTGTGTGTGTGTTGTCATGACTCCGTGGCTGGTGTGTGTGTCCATGTGCTTTATTGCTTCTGAATGAGTGCACATTGTGTCAGCTTCACTCCGGCAACACACACACACACACACACACACACACACACACTCACACTCTGTCAGGGTCCCAGTGGTGGCATATTTTTAGCGTAGCAACACAAGCAGCTCCAGCCTCACTGGTTCTTGAGCTGCAGGTGGGTGGCAGCTAACACACACACACACACACACACACAACACACACACACACCACACACACACACACACACACACACCACACACACACACACACACACACACACACACACACACACAGAAATCAGTGTGTATCTGCAGCTTTTTTTTTTTTTTTTTTTTTTTAGAGAAAATGAGTTTGGGCACTGCAGACCGTCAGTGGGCGGAGTCAGAGAATGCACCATGACGCAGAACAGTGGCGAAACGCAGAGTTTCAGTTCATTGCTGTGGGAACGGACAGCAGCAGCCAATCAGTGAACAGATCTGAGCCTCAGACTGGATTAAAGTTCTCTCCTCTTCACATAAACTAATCAATCATTTCTTTAACTATGATTCTGCAACTATCTAATATTTTCATAGCTGATTACTCTGCTGATAATTTTCTGGATTAATCAATTAATGGTTTGGGATATAAAACTACAGAATGAACCAACCATCACAGTTTCTGTAGCGCCCAAGGTGACGTCATCAACTCTCTTGTTTGTCTCTTGCACGTCTTCATAGCTGAGAAACTGGAACCGTCAGATATTTGGCATTTGTGCGTTCTAGCTCTAGTTTAATATAGTAGTTGATCTATATCTATCTAGTTTCTTGATAAGGACAGATCCTCATCTCAAGTTCTCAGAGCCCAAAGTGACCACTTCTTTGTTTTGTTTTTTGTCTGTACCACTATCTTGTGTCCACTTTCACCACTGAATGAGTTAAAATATTTAATTGATCATCTTTTTATGACATCATCAGCAAAGTCTTTAAAGAGCTGAAGGTTTTTTAGGCTGAGTGTGACTCTGAGCTAGACGTACAGTTTGGCAGTTCTCACAATCTGCGGTGAACCTGTGAGACCACGACTTGCTAAAGACGACCGAAAGAGACATGTTGAGGCTGAGATGTGACCTGACTGCAGACGCTGCAGCCGTCTGCCTGCCTGTCTTGTCTGGTGTTTTTGTGCCGAGTCATGGTGCCGCGTGCTGACTGTAGGATCCCAGCAGACTCATCGTGCTGAGTCGTGCTGCTGACTCGCTCCTCTGTTTACCTGCACAGTTTGTTTGTCTTCTTCAGGGACAGCGGACACACCTCAGCTGCAGCTTAAAAAACGGTCAATAAAAAAGACGTGCATCACGCTTTTTCAGTAACAGCAACTCTGAAACTGCTGCAGGAGAAAGAAAATCTGCTATTCACTGAGAAAACTAATTACCAGTTAAATTAATCTCTAATTTGTTTGTCTAATGCATAGTGCTGTGGACAAAAACTAACAAGAACTTCGAGAGTGGACATTAGTTAACAGAATATTTTATATCAGAATATCAGAAAATATCCTTATTAGTTTTGCAATCCTGAATTCAACCGTATCTCTCAGCCCTAGTCGGTAATCAATAATTAAAAATGCTATCAATGAGTTTTTAACAATAAACTGACCTTGGGAACACACATTTATGTTCAGATAATCTGTTCACCCCTGGTGTCTTTATAAAAAAAAAGGTAATTTCATTATCAGTTCATTATTTGATGTTATGAATAATTTATTAATGAACATTAAATTTCATTTTAAGATAGTTTAGTAGCATCTCTTCTTCTTCTTCAACATCTTTTTAACAAATTCGAGAGGTTGTCTATAAAAACACGTATTAATCATGCTGCACGATATGGTACAAAACATTTGTGAGTCATGATTAGTTTTCATTTTCACTGTAACAACTATTAAAACCACAATGATGTGACGTTTGTTGGGGTCTCTGCAGCACTACATTACGACGCTGTCACACATTTTAACCTTCATCAGTAAATTGCAGCTTCTGCACTTGTGATTTTGATAACACTTTAAGTGTGCAGCCGTGTTTCTTTAAACGAAGGCAGCAGCCTCACACGCTGCAAACTGTCGAGACGTTTTGAATCTGTTTTACCTTTCTATCTTCCTGCAGCACTTTCAGTTTCAGAGTAGCTGCGTGTGAAAAAACCTGCATTTATAAACGAGGCCGCAGAAACCACAAGCCACTTTGTGCCTGATGTCACCGCCGTACCAGAAAACCCTTTTAACTCTGCTGAGGCTTCTTCATGTGTTCGTGTTTTATAGTTCGTGCTTCCCCTGCTGGCACCTCCTTACAATGACTGCATCAGTAATACAGTGTGTGTAATTATACATCAGATGCTCATTTTCTGCATTTGATGAGAGTAGACTATTCATTAATTGATCATTTAATGTATAATGAATGATTTAGGAAATCTGATGTAATGTCTGTTTCCGTCATTTTAAATTTTTGGACATAAACATGATGAAAAACTACTATATTTATATTTCACAGTGCTAATTAATAACCTTTTTGATAGATTTAGAGTATCTTAAGAAGGAATTGAATGTGTCTGTTTGTTCCTAAACGCCTCACAGCCCTGTGTGTGTGTGTGTGTGTGTGTGTGTTTCTCAGATTTTGTAGTAACATGTTGTGACCAGATGGAGGCACCATTCTCTCAATTTAGTTAGGGCTGAACAGGAAGAGGCTGATACAACTGGCAGCCAATCATAGAGCAGACTACTGGTCACATGACCTTCACTCCAGTGCAGGGCAGGGTGCTGCTCTTTGACACATTTATCATTTTCATAGTTCAGTTTTTTCACGGAATTTCCCTCCAGTTTTACCTTTTTAACAGAGTAAAGTTTGGTGTTTCTCTCTGTGGAACAATGAACTGCTGTTTGAGTGTATATATAATATAAATCTGCTGCTACATGCTGCATAACTATATATATACACTGTAAGGACAAAAGTACTGGGACACCTACACATTACTTTTAAAACATCCCATTCTAAATTAATAGGCATTAATAATGAGTTGGTCCTCTTTGCAGCTATAACAGCTTCCACTCTTCTAGGAGGGCTTTCTACAAGATTGTAGTTTGTCTGTGGGAATTTTTGCCCGTTCATCCAGAAGAGCATTTGTGAGGTCGGACACTGATGTTGGACACGAGGGCCTGACTCGCAATCTTTGTTCTAGCTCTCACCGGGCCAGTCAAGTTCTTCCACACCAAACTGGGAAAACTATTTCTTTATGGAGCTGGCTTTGTGCACGAGTGCATCGTCGAGTTAAAAGAGGAAAAGGCCAAACAGAAACTGTTGGAAGAACTGTTGTTAAGTGAAATCTTGATGCCATAACAAGACCACACCATGAAAAACGGCCCCTGCCAAAAGTATTGAGACAGGGGTGTGTATTTAACACTAGACAGTAATGTTGTTAGATTAGAGCTTCTGTCATTTTGGAGAAACATGTTAACATTTAGAAAAGACGATGGTGACAAGACATTTAGTGCTCCAAGGGATGCTTGGAGAGAGAGAATGTTTCAGCCTCATGGTCATGGTATCCTCCACTAACTCTGCCCTCTCTCTGTTTTAATCTCTGCAGGTTTTGGACGAGCTCAGCGCCGGTCTGAGTGTGTGTGTGTGCGAGAGGGTCCCGGTCGGTAACAGCAGCAGGCAGCAGGTGGAAGGACTTGCAGGCAGGGGCGGCGGCGGGGGCGCAGTCGCGACGAGGTCAAGATGACGTCGGTAGCGGCAGAGTACGAACACATGGAGATCCAGCAGCAGTACAGCGACGGCGTCAACAACCGCTGGGACGCCGACGACTGGGACAACGAGAACAGCTCGGCTCGCTTGTTCGAGCGCTCACGCATCAAAGCCCTCGCAGGTAGGAGCACGGACGGATGCAAGACTGAATGGATGACTGATCATCAGAGAAGCTCGTAGGGGAAGGCCGAACTGATTCAGTTTGTTCTCCTGGTCTTTGCACGTAGATGACTGTGTGTTAACTTACTATGAGGACAGGAATATATCCAGTCAAGTTTCTGACTTATCAGACTAATAGAAACAGGAAATATTACATTCCATTTACCGTAAAACTTCAAATAGCCGCATACCACGTTTACTGGCCTGGTGTGTGAACACATTTTGACAAATAAATGCAGGTCTCCATCCGTCTGGTTTTTATAGAAGTTCCTTGGATGTATAAAACCTCTTAAACCCTGCAGGGTCACTCGCTTCAGCTGCTTCTAAGCTGCTTAGATCGTTAATACAAATATTAATGTTTAAACATATGACCATTGCAGTGTGTCAGTATGTCGGTGTGGACATGCTGCACATCGTTAGATCTGTTAGATTCTCCACAATTCAATCGTTCAGTTCATTTAACGGAAACAACGAGCCCCAAAGTCTAGTTCATATAGATTTACCAGTGTAACCGGAATGGTACAAGAGATTAAAAGGGCCGACCCCCATAACCTTTGAAGCGCTTGTCCGTTCCTTGATATTTATCTTCCTCTAGTCTGTAAGGGTCCACCTATCAAAAGAATCATAACAGCTTTTCATAAAAATGAATCCAAGTTGTGAATCCTGTCATGTGAAGTCCATCGCTCTCCGTCTGCTAACTTCTACCACACTTCTCTCATCCTGCACCGTGTTGTGTTTTCGTTAGGTTGCTGCCTTCAAAATAAAAGACGCATACACAGTCTGTCAGAGCTAGATCAAACGAATGACGTGTATTTGATATTATTGGATAATTTTTATACTATATATACTGTTTAAAGCTGTCATAGTAGCATATTTCAGTTTTGTGGGAAAAGAATTAAAGGGTCAATTCAGTGATTTTAGCAAATAAAAGCCCGGGCTATTAATCAAAGTTTTACGGTATTCATGTCAGAGGTCGCGCACTACGTGAGTGTGTATTTGCAGTTCTGAATGACTGTGCCAGTATTAAACTAGAGGCAAGGACAGTGACGGTGTGACTTAAGTTTAAAGTTTAAAGAACTAAATTAGCAAAACGAGAGTTAACAGGATAATTGTATCTGGTTAACATCAAGTAAGCCTGGATTAGTTTGAAGAGCAGGAACCAGAAGTACATCAGATCTGTTGTTGTCAATTGAGAACTCTTCTGTCTGGCTTGTTCGTGTGTTTGTGTGTGTGTGTGTGTGTGTGTGTTTTGTGTTTGTGTTTACTCGGCGGGGGGTCTGAATGGTTTCATAAGCTGCGGGGTCGCAGAGTTTGTGTCAACACAGAGAACAATGAAGCCTCTCAGAGCACAAGTTTCTACATTAAAATCTCCGAATGTTTTCCTCTGGAGACGATCAGCAGTATGAAGAACAATGTAAATTCAAACTTTGATGCGTTTTGATTTAGATACCATATGTGACGGGTGGACTTTTTGCGCATAAACACATGGCTCAACCCGCACCGGTGTTACATGAGTTCAGTGTGCTGACTTTTCCCGCTCATACCAGCTCCATCACTCTGCAGGATTCCTCAGCCTTCACACCTGTTAATAATTATGAGTTAATGAGGGCTAACGAGGCTCATTAACGAGCTTCAGGCTGTTAAACACCTCTGGCCCCCTTTTCACACTTTTCAATTCAAGCGTCTCGTATTCAGATGAAATCCAGATGAGATTTAAGACACTTTGATTTATACTTGGCCTCATTTATGTGTCTCTGTTTGAGGCAGATCCTAAATCTGATTACAATCAGCCTTTGTTTTCTGGTCTACATGTAAATCAGGGCCGGGCCTCTTCCAGTCCTGAAGGAGGTGGTGTTTCAACTGAAGCTGTTTGAAGCTGAGAAGAAGAAGAACGTCTGGCCTTTGGCAGTTTAGTTACCACAATTACAGTTTAGCAGTTAGACTAACTCACACCGCTCCCTCACCCATACAGATTATCAAGTGGATGAACTGATCAGGAATCAGATAAACGCTACAGTAGCTCGGTGCTCAGACGGATAAAGTTATTTAATGAAGCTTTTTTTTAAATTTACTTATTCTTTCACATTTCATTTTGTGCCTTTGCCTCATAATTTGGAAAATTGAAAATATCTTTATGAGGATTATTGCTGATAAATATTGTTGCTCAGAAGCCTTAGTGTGAGTGTGTGTGTGTGTGTGTGTGTGTGTGTGTGTGTGTGTGTGTTACAGTAACTCTACCTCTCTCCCGCCTGCTGTTTTTACCCTGATGGCCGAGTGCTTCAGTAGTGTCCCACTTCACTAAATAATTCACAGCAGTGTTAAATATGCAGGAAAAGGCTGATGGTGTGTGTGTGTGTGTGTGTGTGTGTGTGTGTGTGTGCGCGCGCTTTTAAAGGTATGAGGGCGGAGCTTGTGTTTCCCGCTGACCATGATGCCTACGATGTTCAGATTTTGTTGCGATTGTCACAGTGTTTCTAATATCCTCCCCTGCAAACGTATATTAATAGGGAGGACAAGAAATGAGCATCACCCCCTAAATATAAAGCACGCCTGAACACCACCTTTTTTACTATAACCTCAGTGATAAACGTATAATTAAAACGAGTTTTTTTTTATTTATGGCAGAGCGGTCGTTTTGAATTGCAATAGATTGTGCAAGTCTTGCTAATAAAGTGGCCACTGAGTGCTTTTTTTCAAACCTCATTTAGGGAGGGTTTTGCTGACAGTCGGGCTCTCTTGTTTTGTTTTATAATCCACATGCCCAGTACAACCAGGACCACCACAGTCACCACAGATCTGCTCTGAGAAAGGACGGAGTCTGAATGTCCGGTTCGTGCCTTTATTCTCCTCCTCATCCTCCTCCTTCGCGTCCTCTTCCTGCTCTCGCTGAGCTCAGCAGGATGGAGGATGTGTGGTGGTGATGACATTGAATTAACACTGTGTTTGATACAGTGAGTGTGTGTTTGTGTGTGTGTGTTTGTCCTCCTTCCTTTAATTACAAATAGGGTCTTTGTTTCTGCTATTAATGAGCTGAATACCAGATTAGCAAAGTGCTAACTAGCAGCAGTTCAAGTAGTCGTACGAGTTGTTGTAGCAACAGTTGTTGGTGCTTTAAATACCTAAAATGTCAACTACAGTTGGAGGAGTTGTAGTGTGTTGGATTCGTTCAGTTGAAATAGTTTCAGTTGTAGTAGTAGGCTAATATTGTTTGTCAGGACCCTTTACTGTCTTTGGAGGAACCAAGAATATTTTGTTAATTGTGTTTTGTAAAGGAGGTAGTAAAATGTGGTGGGCTGATTAATCGACAGGCAGATGTCAGAAAGTTACCTGACAACATCTTTGATGATCAATTCATTATTTAATAGTAGGTGAAAAAATGGGAAACATGATGTGCTTCTCCAGCGTGAGGATTCACTGCTGTGTTTCGCTGTTAGCTGAATATCTTTTGGGGTTTTGGACTGTTGGTCGCAGAAGAGACGTCCCTTTTTAAAACAATCATTAATTTGCAGCTTTGATCTGGAACAAGACCTGACACGCGACCGAGCGGCGCTCATTCAAACCTTCATCATTTCAGCTGCACTGAAAACTGATGCTGAGGCCCGGACATCTACTGCTACTCTGCTCTCTGTGTGTGTGTGTGTGTGTGTGTGTGTGTGTGTGTGTGTGTGTGGTTGAATCGGAGTGTGTTACGTCTCCATATGATATCCTGGGAAACACAAAACCGCCGGTCACCATGGAAACGCAGGCAGATCTACTTTCAGAGAAGGCAGAGACCGGAGTGTGGGTGGGTTTCTTAGTCGCTGTGTGTTTGGTGGATTGACTTTACAACAAGTAAAACTGCAGTGACTCACAGAAGGTCTCAGCATGGTGTCTGTATGTTACTGTATGCTTGTTTTTCTTTTGTATATCCACATATTTGTGTATCACGTTTGACGTAAAGAGCAGGCCGAGTAAAGCTCTAGAGATCGGTGTTGGTATGCTGTGCGATATCACATAGAAGTAATTTCATATCCCAATAACAATACATATTATGAGTTACTGTAATTTTAAAATATGTCTTTATGTCCCGTGTACATGTTATTTTTAGTTTTGCAATAAGGATTAAAGAAGGAAAAAAATGAATCCGGTGTTTCTGACACCTCACTTCTGGCTCCTGTGCTAAATAATACGTGTGGTCCTCCATTTGTCCAAATTTCACTTCTCCTCATACTTTTACTCTTACTAACCAGACTACTGCTGCTACTACTTCTTCTTGTATGTATTCAGTGTAGTGATGAAACGCGCTTTGTAGAGCAGTTTGTCCATTTAGGCTACTGTAGAAACATGGCGGTGCAACATGGCGACTTACATGTAAAAGGCCCTGCGGTGTCAAGGTGTTAAAACCATAACAGTTCATTATGTAAGGTCTTTATCCACCACTGAAAACATAGTTATGGATAATATATTGCATTTTTGTCAATAGATCCTCCTAAATATTACAGACTGAACCTTTTTACTTACTAAGTCAAAAAAAGTGTGAATCTTTGCAGAGGATGACGTCTATCGACCTGTCTGTGGCCCTGAGATGTTTCTGGTAACTTGGTTCCTTTTCTGTCTTCTGAGCAGCTCAGAAAAACCTCTGAGAGGTTGTTGAGGGGAGGAGGAGAACTTTAAAGGCTTCTGAGTCGGACAGGCCATTGAACACCAATACAACTAATTCTTTGATCAAATAGTTTCTGATTTAAAGTTTGGTTTAAGACGTAAAACAACGAGCTGCAACTAAAAGTTATTTTCATTATTGCATAATATGTCGATAATTTCTCAATTAATTGCTAAGCCAATAAATAAAATGTCAGGAAACAACAAAAAAACAAATAATTGCAGTTTCCCAAAGGTAACACGGTGATGTCATCAAATCAAACTAACGCAGCAAATTCTCACATTTGAGGGATCAAATTTTGGGCGTCTTTGCTTGACAAATGT